TATATATATATATATATATATATTTGAATGAATACTGCAAATGTAATCTATGAATACCACAAATGTGATTATATCATGAGTGTAATTTAAAAAAAAAATATATTAAAAAAAAGAGTCATCTCCATGTTTCTGTTTAGACTCTATTAAAATTTCAGAAAAAAAAAATATAGGAAAAGAATAACTGGCCTTTATTAGTCTATTACTCAGTCGACTACCAGGAGATTGATATTTTCTGTGGTTCATCTATTCTGATCATTTTTTATCATTTTCTGGCAATTAATCCCAGCTACCTTTGTCTTGTCTACAGTTTGATATGGGTTGACTAGATGGTCTAAACTGTCTACGAGAACGCATTCAGTTTAATAGGCACAACTTTCAAAGTCTGAATTTAACAGACAATTTCTATAAAAATACAAGTTATCAAAATTTTATTCAAGAAAATAATACAAATCTCAAAGAAATTACCATAGAAGATACAGGGAAGAAGACTACAGACATCATTTAAAGTTCTACCAGGGCCAGATGGTCTCACCTCTGAATTTTATTTATAAAGTTAAAAAAATTTAAAATTTTCATATTATTTCACCTTTTTAGATTATAGGGAAAAATGAAAGTTTCTTTATTATTTTAAGATATTTGTAAAAATAGAAATAAGATAAGCATATGAAATTAATAAAAAAGCTCTCTTTTTGTAGAAATTACAAACCCAAGATATTCCATTTTAAATGTTTATTGTTAATGTAAGAGTTTGATGAGATATGCTTTATTATACAAATATGCAAACTTAAGTAGGTTTTATTTACTAGCTGTAATCAGCCAGAAAGTAAAGGAAGAAATTATTCTGCTAAAGTATGGACAAATAATGAGCAATCATACTCTATTTAACAAGACAGCTGCAGAATACACATGAAGTAAAGCACTCCACAGGCCAATCATGACTTTAGAACATGAAGGGAATGTGAATGGGAGTCTCCTCATGCTCATGGAAGTGTTGTCTGTCTGTGCGTGCCATGTGATCCAGGAAGAGATAGAGGAAGGAAGTCACACCTCAAGGACTAGGAAGGAGAGGGAGGAGGAGGGAGAGGGGAGGAGGGAGAGCGGAGGAGGGAGAAGGAAGGAGGGAGAAGGGAAAGAGGGAGAGGGGGAGAGAGGGGAGGAGGGAGAGAGGGGAGAGAGAAGGATGGAGAGGAGAGAGAGGGAGGAGGGAGGAGGAGAGAGAGGAGGAAGGAGAGGGGAGGAAGGAGAGGGAGGAGGAGGGAGAGGGGAGGAGAAGAGGGGACAGGAGGAAGAGACTGTAGCACTGATACTTTTTTGTCCCCCTGTGGTGCTCCTGCTCCTCAACCAGGGGCCCTGAATCACCAATGAGCTCCACAAGATGGATCCTGTCCACTGTGTCCTGGCCCAGTGTTTTGCCGTCAGAATCTATTAACGAAGAGGGCGGGGGGGGGGGCACACGACATGGGGCCTGCCTTTTTAAGGGTCAACCCACACATGCGCACACAGGCCCACGTGGCTGTTCCACGCATGTGTGTAGATCATGTGGTCACACAGCACGATTACATGACCACGTAGCGCATGGGTTACGTAGGACCAGAAATGACTAGGCAGAAATGACTAAGTGTCCTGCCAGGGCATGTGTGACCCTTGGAGGCGTGGCTGGAATTCCTATCATTAGTAGCTGTAAAGCTCGTCTTCCTTTCCCCAAAAACATTTTCCTATTTTATTTTATTAATTTTAATAGGTATATGTAAATACAAATATTGTATCTAGTGATAAGTTGCCACATGCTGTTTCTGTATATAGACAATCAGAAGCCGGTCTCCTCTGAGGTATGCTATTTTATGGCGAGAACATCTGTGGTCCTTTCTTCCAGCACATTGGGACCTGCAGTACATGGCTGCTGTGGACCAGCACCCCACAGTGCAGTGGCACCCAGAGCAGACTCCTTCTGCTGTCTACCTGCAATGAAGCCCTCACTGGCCAATGCTGCATCCTGTACAGCCTGGCTTCCAGAACCCTGACCAGGGGTGATGAGAGAATGAACCAAGGAGAGGCATATGTATACAAAACTGGAACTGGGTGGCCTGGGCTCCTAGATGGAGAAGCCACAATACCCTGGAAGACCAGCATGTTTATTATATACAGTTGAAAAGGGAGGTGGGGTTACTCCATAGAGATAAACAAGGAAGCAGGTTCAGCTGATCTCGGCAGGAGCAGTCTCTGTAGGGGAGCAGTTTGCAGGCCATAAACATCTGGGGGAAGGAAGCCCTGAAGGACATTTTCTGCACACACTGTTTGCACTCAACCTGAGGAAGGCGTTGGCGTCCCTCTGAAACTCACCCAGGGAAGGCTTTGCCACTCCCATGGCACTGAGGCATTGGACTCCTTGACATGGCCATGCCCACGTCAGGGATAAACATTCCCTTGGGACTTTGCTTGTTCCCTACAGGCCAGTCGTTCTCCACTTCTCCTCCAACAGAATCCACTGTCACCATTCTGCTCAAAAATTTCTGCGAGATCCACGCATGAGTGAGCGCGTGTAGCGCGAGTTTCTAGAAAGCTTTTCCTAAACTCCCTCCTTTCCCAGATTGGGTGTGATGGATTTCCTGTGTTTCCCCAGCTCCAGTGGCCCTTCGGCAGCACTCAGTGCTGAATTTTAATCGCCTACTTTTGAATCGGCTTCTTTATAAAAAGTGTGTATGTGTGTGTGTGTGCTTTCATGTGCATGTGCCACATGCATGGTGAGATCAGAGGACGATTTTTTGGAGTCTGCTCCCTCCTTTCACAATAGGACCAGGGATCAAATTCCTGTCATCAGGCTTCTGGGGCAAACGCCTTCACCCACTGTCAGCCCTGTCCCTGGCCAAAGCTCATCTTACTCACTTTTGTGTGGATGAGCTGCGTCAGGTCCCTGTCAGGAGCCACCAACGGCCGCCTGCCTGAGCTGAGACTCCGAAGAGGAGCAAACTCAGGCTGGCCAGACAGGAGGCTTGATGGCTTTGTTTTCTTTGTGTTATTGTTTTATGAGACTGAAAAAAAAAAAGGTAGTTTAAGATGGAGTCAGATCAACTTGTTCTCCAAACATTGGGATATATCACAGATTAACTTTGTTTAGAAGTACAACTTATTTAATTTTACTACAGCATTTTGATTCCAAAGTAACCACATATGTTTGGACGATGTTGATGGCATGACGGACAGCATCTGTAATCTTCCCAGTGACCTCGTCTTGATCAACAGAACCAGGAGGACGATGATAGATATTTTTTCAATAAGCAGGCAGAATTAGTCTGAGGAGAATAGGTTTTGGCTGTTTAAGAGATTGTTTTCCTATGCTAAGAATACTTTTGATGCGTCAACTCTTGTTTAAGGCGTCCACACGGCTGGTGGAGCCCTGGGCCCCGGGATCTGTTGTACGATTAACGTAAACTTAGGAAACATGCTTTGTGTTGTTTCTAAACGGTCCAGATTTAAGTTGCGTTCAGCCACAGGATTTCTGTAAATACAGACTTTCGTCAGCAGAGGCCTTGTGTTTGCTTTTTGATCCAACTTGGTGTGTTTATTTAATCTGCGATGACTCAGCTTGCTGGCTGCTTTAGGAACTGGGAGTGTGTGTCCTCATGATGCCAAGGCTGGATTGACTTTGTTCTGAATTGCAGAGGCCCGGAAAGAGGGCATGTTCCCCCTTACAAGCTGGCCATCTGAACTCCTCTTTTCTTCTACGGAGTATGGAAAGTATAGTTGTTTGACGATGAGACTGATTCTAGCTCAGAGGCGCCATACTTCACAAAGCTATCGTTTTTTTCCTTTCCACGGAGACAGACAGAGCCAGTCCAGAGGCCGACTGACATCGTGCTGCCCATCTTCTTATCTCTCTACGGCACATTCCAGAGGAAACACAGAGGAAGAGGTTGGTGTCCATTGGCTCAGGAGGTCACAAGATGCCAATGTGTGGATAAATGATTCCTTTAGTGACTATATTAACTTCTAAGAAACTCAAGAAGAAGAAGAAGGAGAAGAAGAAGAAGAAGAAGAAGAAGAAGAAGAAGAAGAAGAAGAAGAAGAAGAAGAAGAAGAAGAAGAAGAAGAAGAAGAAGGAGGCAATATAGGCTTATTTATGTATGCTCGGCTTGCACTTGTGTCCCGAGTCGTCAGTCTCCCACTTCTGTTGGGCTGTGCTTGCCATTTTTCCCACTCAACATGTCTCAGCTGGTACCAGCTTCTGTCTACCATCCCCTTGCTTTGGAGGGTCCCCTCTCATTTTGTGATGTTTCCCTGGACTGTGGCTACTTCTGCTCCCGGGCCATTGGAAGCCTTTGTTGCTTGAAGGTTCATCTGGCTTGCCATAGTGTGCTCAGCTCGTGCTGGCCACACAGGGATCTGTTCCCTTTGCTTCTTCCCAGTGAAATTTCTTGGCATCATGGGTTTCAGGTAAGGTCTCTGAAGAAGTGTGAAGAGCCATGCTGCAGGCTCCATCCCTTGTCATCAGTGATGGTTAGCATCATAAGTGAGTCTTTCTGATAAGACAGACTGCCCTCATCAGGGAGTCCAATATGACCCCAGAGTTTAATGGTGTACTTTCATAGGAATCAGGTTCTTTACAAGCTTAAACTCAAATTAGATTTGATATTGAAAATTACAGAACCAAGCAGCATAGACCCTTAGGGTTAGGGGAGACCAAAAAGATTGCTTCTCCCTTCTATGTACAAATGTTCCCTGCTTGCATCCTCCTGGACCTGGGGACTCACTACTTTTGAGGTAGTCCCTGTTTCACTTTGGACAGGTCTGACAGAGATTCCTCTTACTGTGGAGCTGATATTTTTCTTCTTCTTGCGGTGAGCTTCTGAGACAAGTCAACCGCACCTCTCCTTTGAGCCTCTGCGGGAGACACTCATCTGTCCCCAGTCTTCCATGCAGGTGCCCATTCCCATTTCTCTCTGTTCTGCAGCTGTGCCCTCACGGCCAGCTTCAGAAGCTATCCTTTCATCCATAGGCTGCCTTGCACTCCCCTGGCAAGCATTGTTTAGGCCCAAGGATGAGGTTGTATCACTGTTCTTCTTGCTATTGCTTTTGAAATTAGAACCTAAGAACGAATTCACACTTGAGTGTGTGCAGATATTTAAAATGTGAGATTGTGATGTACAATTTTGAAGTTTTAACAACTAATTTGCCTTAGCCCCAATTTACATTTATGTGGTAGGTGTTCTGAACCTTGTAGGGTGCTTATCCATGTTATCTTTCATCCTCTTGGAAGGAACATTTATTATAAGTCTGGTTTTGGGTCTGTATAGATGTAACCAACCGTCTTATTAAATAAGAAACACAGAAACAATGTAAAAGAGAAAGCCGAGAGGTCAGAACTCAGAGCTAAAATCTCACCCTTCCTCCTGCTGTCCCAGCTTCGCGAAAAGAGACCTACTTCCTGTCGGTTCGTTTTTTTATAGTATGTTGTTCTGCCTTCTCATTGGTTGTAAACCCAAACACATGACTGCCTCGTCACTGTCTGAATGTACAGCCCCCTAGGTCTTAAAGGCATATGTCTCCAGTGCTGACTGTATCCCTGAACACACAGAGATCTTATGGGATTAAAGGCGTGTGCCACCACCGCCACACTCTTGCTATGGCTCTAATAGCTCTGACCCTGAACACACAGATATCTATGGGATTAAAGGCATGTGCCACCACCGCCACACTCTTGCTATGGCTCTAATAGCTCTGACCCCCAGACAACTTTATTTATTAACATACAATCAAAATAATATTTCAGTACAATTAGATTACCACCACAGGTCTGTGTGTTCACTCTCCCTTTTGACTTCATACAGGCTCTGTGCTTTTGAAATGGACCTTCTGTAGCTCCATCTAAGCCTAAACAGCCAACAAGACATGAATGAGATCCTTCACACTGTCCCTAGAAATTCCATTTTTAATATCCATCTTTTTTTTTAATTTCAATTTATTAAGACAGTGTTTCTCTATAGCTCTGGCTGTCCTGGAACTTGCTTTGTGGACCAGGCTGGCCTCAAAAACAGAGATCCACCTGCCTCTGCCTCCCAAGTGCTGGGATTAAAGACACTAATGTCCATCTTTTTACTGGAACACCTGATGGTTACCCAAATACTTATGTTTTACCTGGTTGTAGAAATAGCAAACCAAATTTTCCATTGTTTCTTAAAGAATATTATGAGCAATATTGACAAAACCCTTGAAAATCCACAGAATACCTACTTTTATCAAAGCAAAAAGTGAAGAGGATTCTGTGCAACTGTATTTCTCCAAGCACCTAGCTGCTCACTTCTTACCTCTCCATTTTTATGAGCCACATTCTAATCACCTGTCCTGGAATTTGTCACACAAAGTCACCATTTCTAAAGTAGACCCTGATGTTGAAAACCAAACTGAACCAACCCCCGATGTCCATCTTTCCCTTCCTCATTCTCACTAAGCTGTCATCCTGTCATATTTCAACTCTTGGTTGCCCAAGCTGGACTTTTTCTACTAGGAAATGTGGTTAACTTGAAGCCATTTGGTGATCCTAAGAGTCCCTTGAGGATGGGGTTGCTCCCTACCCAAGGGCCAGCCTGAGTCCCACCACACAGCACCTTGGCTGTATTGAACAAATGTGTCTGCCCTCTTATTCTTGAGTTAGCAAAGTTGGTCCAAGAGTTTTCAGCTGTTAAAATTGGTTATAAGTCATAGAGAATGTTGCTCTTTTACTACCTAGAGGCAAACAAATTCCAGAGTAAGAGTCAGTGGTATTCTTTGTGCTCCTTCATATTCTAGTGTTTGACTTTCAATATCAAGGTGCAACAAGCTGTTGGAGCTCCATCCATGGCTTCCATCTTCTAGGAAGGAGCAGGCATTTGCCTTGGAAACAGCTTTCTTTATCCACTTTGTCTAGAATGTCACCAGATAGCTGCAAGAGAGAACATAGCATATATCTGAGCAAGTACATTTTCAGCTCAGTGAAGTTGTTTTACATTACCAAAAACAGTGATGCATACCCATCTCTGCTGTGACCTGGAAGAGGCCAAATAGGAGTTCTACCATTCTTTTCTTTTCTTCCCTTCCCATTCCCTTTCCTTCCTTCCCTTCCTTCCTTCTCTTTTTTTAGAGGTCACATGTAGCTCAGGCTGGCCTTCAACTTTCCATGTAGCCAAAGATGATCTTGGATTTTTGATCCTCATGCCTTTACCTCTCAAGTGCTGGGATTAAAGGGATCAAACTCAGGGTGTTGTGCATTCCAGGCAAACACCTACTCACTGAGCTATAGCCCCAGCCCACAGGCATTCTTTCCTTACATCCTTCAGACTTGGATTTGCCTTAAGAAGTAAGTAAAAGTCCACAATACAGCCACTCTACCGACTACAAAAGTGTAGAGATGTTTCATCTGGAAATTAGCCTTGTTAGCCTGCTTTTCTGTTTGTTTTTGTTCCAGTGTCTGTGTACCCACAGTGGATTCTTCAGCTTCTTCCTCTCTGGAGATTGCTAGTTACTCAATCAGAACAGCATTTTCTCTGGCTCACAACCAGGATGATTCATATTCACTTCCAGATTCTTGAGTCATAGGGCTTTGAATCTTTTCCTTCTTGAAAAATCTTCTTCTGTAAGTTTTCAAGAGGGAGCGTTAAGCAAGCATTTTTCCTTTCTGATGACCTTTGCCCTGTTCCCAAGCAGTGTGATTCTCCGCTTCTCTAGGGATGGGTGTGTGACTCTGGCTCACCTCTTCTGTTCTCACCTCCTGTCCAGGGTTGCTTCCATGAAAGCAAACGACCCAACTAGAGTCTTTAACAGAGACTGTTGTCAGGGACATCATGGATCTTCCTGAGGGGCATCCCCCTCATTCCACACCACATACCTGGGGAGGCTGGATAAGGAATGGATGACCTGACAGGAGGCAGATGAGTTCTATCCAAGGGGAGGGGAGGGTGGTGAAGCATCCTCCAGCAAATCTCACCAATGTCTGCCTACTGGTGCTGCTGAAAAAGACTGGGATACGAGCAGACATTGTATGAAAGGATTAGTCTGGAGGGGAACTAGTCTCAGACTTTCTTTTCTGGGTCTCTTTGTTTCACTCTGTAAACAATACAGAGGTAATGGATCAGATCATGACTGCACTTCAGACAGAGAGGGCACAAGAGAATGAGCATAGATCAACGAGTCTCAGCGAGCATGGGGGGATGCATGTTTACATTTGGAAGGAAATCAACATCTCTTTAGAGGTCAGTCAGTGATGTCTCTGTCCCACAGAACTTCATCTTTGAACAAGTATGGAAGCCAACTAGTTCTCCAAGATAAAATGGAACCCATATCTCATTAATCTATAGTTAATTCTTGTTTAATCTACATGGCATAGGAGAGGAGAAGGAGGAATTTTACACTTGCCACTTACAGCTCTGTGGTAGGTGTATATATGGTGTTTTGTTTTCCCCTATACAGAATTTGTACTAAAGAAAGAAGACATGGGCATCTCCAAAGCTACTTCCATCTAAGAACTATGAAAATATAAAGATGTAGATGTAACCAACTGTCTTATTAAATAAGAAACACAGAACCAATGTAAAAGAGAAAGCCAAGAGGTCAGAGCTCAGAGCTAAAACCTTACCCTTCCTCCTGCCGTGATCCTACCTCTCCAAAAGAGACCTACTTCCTGTGTGTATGTCTTTACATAGTCTTTCTGTTCTGCCTTCTCATTGGTTGCAAACCCAAACATGTGACTGCCTCGTCACTGCCTGCAAGTACAGCCCTCCAGGTCTTAAAAGGTGTGTGTCTCCAATGCTGCTTGTATCCTTGAACACACAGAGATCCACTTAGCTCTGTCTACCAAGTGCTGGAATTAAAGGCGTGCGCCACCACTGCCACGCTCTTTCTATGGCTCTAATAGCTCTGACCCCTGGGCAGCTTTATTTATTAACATACAATTAAAATCACATTTCAGTACAAATAAAATACAACCATATAAAGAAAATAAAACCAAGTTCCTGTTGTATAAGAAATATTCAGGGAAAAACAGTAACTGTGGCTGTTGTTGATAATGCTGTTCACATGTCTGCTAAGGTAAGCTTGTGCAGAGGGCTGAGGTTAGTCAGGGCATGTGCAGTGGCTGGTGAGATGCACAGTGGCTGCTCCAGGTGCACAATGTCTAGTCTGTGTGCACAGTGGCTGGTCTGGGTTCACAGTGGCTGGTCTGAGTTCACAGTGGCTGGTCTGTGTGCACAGTGGCTGGTCTGGGTTCACAGTGGCTGG